TCTTGAAAGAAAATAAAACTTTTTTTTAAAAGTTTATGGTCTTTCATTTAAAATATATATACGTAGTTTTAACCATTTAATTTTAGAGAGAGAGAGAGAGAGAGAGAAAGAAAAGATTCAAACGACTATTTCCTTTATCGTTTTTTTTTTTGTATTTTAGGTCAAATGTCACAAAACGAAGTAGAACCGGAATTTTTACAACCTTTAGAAAATTTAACAGTGACTCAGGGACGAGACGTTGTTTTTACATGCGTCGTAAATCATTTAGGACAGTATAAGGTGCGTATTAAGGAATATTTTTTTTTTTGCAAAAAAACCGTTTTACATCAAAAAAAAATTTTTTTTTTAATCTCTATTTAATTAATTTATTTTTAATTGCGGGAAAATAAAAAAAAAAATTTAACTCGTTGCGTAACAACTGGACAAAAACGTTTCGTATTAAAAAAAAAAATTTTTTTTACATCCATCATTAGAAGAAAATTAACGACAATTCGAAAATGAATATCATCGCCATTTTTAAAAATTTTTTTTTTTATTGATCTTGTAATTCAATAAATCATCATTTTTGCATAAATTTTTACGAGACGTTTTACTTTTTTCTAAATGTGATATACATGTCGAAGTAAAAAAAAAAAATTTAATTAATTTATAACTTGTTAATAATAATTTTCACGATTGTTTCCCTTCCCTTCCCTTCCCTCACCTCCCCTTACGAGATCGTTTAAATAAAAAAAATTTATTTCATTTACGGTGCGTGGGTGTGCGTGCGTTTTTTTCAGGTTGCTTGGATAAAATCAGATTCTAAGGCAATATTGGCAATTCATACACATTTAGTAGCACATAATTTAAGGCTCGGAGTAACTCATAACGGTCACAATACATGGAAATTACACATTTCAAACGTACAAAAAAATGATTCTGGTACATATATGTGTCAAATAAATACGGATCCGATGAGGAGTCAGGTACGTTTTGAAAAAAATGGAAAATCCTTAAACATAAGCCATCAATTAATTTAAAAATGAAATCTTGATTGAGGGACTCGTTTTAAAATCTCTCTCTCTCTCTCTCTCTTTTTTTCCATTTCAATTTTAAGCACTAAATAAGAGGAAAGATTTATTTGTTCGAAACGTTTCTTTTTTTTTTTTCTTCTGCTTCATCTCATTTTTTTTTTTTTGCTTTCTTTCATGTGAATTATTTTATTCTATTTTTTAAATTTAAAAAAAAAAAAGTCCTGTTAAATTTTCCTTTTTTTTTCTTACTCCCATTAAGTTTACTTATTTCAAAATGAATAATTGAGTAAAAAAAAAAATTTAACTTTTTTAAAATAATGATAATTATTACTGTAATTTTTTTTTTATTCGAATATAATCGATTTGTTTAAACTTATTAAAATAATAATAATAATAATGCGTAAAATAAAACGAGTTATTATTATTAAATAGAAATAAGAACAAAGACATTATTAAATAGTAAAGCTTAAACCTTAATAATAAAAAAATAAAAAAGTCATTGAATGAAAAACTTTTAAGTTAATTATTATTATTATTATTATTTTGAAAATAAGAAAATAATGAGAAAATGCCATCGGTTTAATATATATATATATATATATATATATGGGAGAAAAATATAAAAGCGAGTTTTCCCTTCTAGGTTTATTGCCACTGACTCAGCAAACTCTCTCTCTGTTTATTATGCAAAGTTTTCACTTTTATTCATATTGTACGAAGGGAGTGACAGCGATGAGATTTTTTTTTTTTTTTCATCGTTTTTTTTTTTTTTTTTTGTTTGAAGAGAGAGAAAGAGAGAGACAGTGAAAAATGAATTGAAAAAAGAGAGAAAAAGAGAAAGAAAGAGTGAGGCGAAATGAATGACGATGACAAGGATTGAAATATTTTTGTTTTAATTTTTTTTATTTCGGGGTTAAAAACATTATAAAAAAATAATAATAATAATAATTTTTTTGTTGTTTTTTTGTTGGTTTTAATACGGTACTGATCACGCAAAATTTTTTTTTTTTTTTTTTTTTTTTAAACAAATATGGACGAAACAACACGCATGGAAACACGCAGAAAAAACACAAAATTTAAATTTTAACGTTTTTAGATTTGATTTAATTTATTCTTTTATTTGATGATGATAATAATAATAATAATAAATATTCAATAAAATAGAATTTATCGATCCGTAAATATTTTTTATACATAAATTTTTGATTCGACCGATTAATAATAATAATAATAATAAAATTTATCGATTTAATATACGAAGGGACTGTATAAATATTTTAATTATTATAATTAATTAATTAATTATAAATTTATTTACGTAAATTATTAACGAATGAAATAATCGGTCATTGTGTACAAACAGCGTGCCCTTAAGAATTAGACAAAAAAAAAATTTTTTAATAAATTCTATTGACACGACTTTTTTTTTTTATTTAATTTAATTTTAATGAAGCAAACGCGCGATACGCGAATGTTTTTGTTTAAAAACAAAAAAAAAAAAATTTTATTTTACAAAAAAAAAATTCAGTAAACCTATTTATACATAAAGTAAAATAATAATAATAATAATAATAATAATAATAAAAAAAAAAGTTTTATAATTAATAAAAATTTATTTTATAAAAAAAGAAATTAAATATGTTTCAAAACTTTTTTTTTTTTTTTGAATTATTGTTGACAGGGACGAAAAGAAAAAAAAATTTTTCTTGTTTTTATTATTATTATCATTATTATCATTCGCGGTAAATTTTTTTTTTTTATTAATCGATAATATAATTGTTTATTATGATAATTAAAAATAAATAAATAATAATAATAAAAATTTTAATGAAAATTTGTGTTTGTTTATAAGATGGGTCATTTAGAAATAGTCGTACCTCCAGATATATTAAGCGATGAGTCTTCCGATGGTGGAATCGCATTAGAAGGCGGGTCTATACGTCTTCGTTGTAAAGCCACAGGTGTTCCAGAGCCTATTGTTCAATGGAGAAGAGAAGATTCTAAAAATATTGTTTTACGACACGAAAGCGGTCGGGAAAAAACCGGTAAAATTTTATTTTTTTCAATTATTATTATTATTCGAAAACAAAATTTTATTACTAGTGTAAATAATAATAATAATAATACCACTACGACCGCGTAAAATAAAAATTATCGAAATTTTCCAACAATCGATATTATTAAATAAATATATATGTATATATGTTTATTGTCGAGTTATGTAAATTTTAATAATATTTTACTTTATATTATTACGGGAAAAAAAATCATAATAATAATAAAATTAATTTTTCCCGAAAAAGGAAGAGGGGGAGGAGGAGGAAGAGGGGGTGAAAAAGAAAAAAAATTAAATTAAATTTGACTTGTCGCTCGCGATTAATGTTTGAATTGTTTTTTCTTTTTTAAAAATTGTAAAATATTTTTGTACGTGGCACCAGATGTTCAATAACATATATATATACGTATATATGCCAAAATCGATTTTCTTTATTAGCTGGTTATTTAAAAAAAAAAATTGATGAAGAAGAAGAAAAAGAAAAAAGGAAGAAAAAAATGTCACGAGAATAATATATATTTATATCGAAAACTAAAAAAAGATTGGGGAAAGTGAGGGAGGGAGAGGTGGGGGAAAATGAGGGAGACAGGAAAAATTTTGTTTTAATGAATTTTTAAGTTTTTTTTTTTTTTTTTTTAATTTAAAAAACAATCGATGGGAAAATGTCTGCCGACAAAAATAATGAGATTTTTTTTTTTTTAAATTTTTCTATTCGAAAACAACAATAATTAATAAATAGATATACATATATGTACATAATTTTTTTTTTTTTGTTTCAGCTGAAAGGATTATTAAAGGGGATGTTTTAACATTGACAAATGTTCAGAGATCAGATATAGGAATTTATTTATGTATAGCATCCAATGGTGTACCACCATCAGTTAGTAAAAGATTTATGGTTCAAGTTCATTGTAAGTGTATCTTTCGTTATTCTTAAAAAAAAAAATAAAAACTTTTTTTTATTTATTTATTTTTCATTTTTTTTTCAACACTTAAAAGTGCGAAATTATTATTATTATTATTATTAACCGTAGTCTGGTAAATAAGAAAATATCAAATGAGAATAATGAAACAAAACAAAACAAAAAGTCACGGGAAAAGTTGAAAAATATAAATATTTTAAATAAATAAATAAATAAATTTATTTATTTAAAATATTAAAATTAATAAATTAGGATAAAATAAAGAAGGTGGAAAAAGAGAGAGAGAGAGAGAGAATATAAGTCGAAAGCTTAGAAAACAAATGCAATAGCGCAGAAAGGAAAGAAATAATATCGCTTTATGATTCCATTCGAGCGTGGTTTTAGGCTGGAAATTACTTCCAGGGCAACGCCTCAGTTCGCTTCGTTGATCCTGATAAGGTTTTACCTTTTTTACCCCTTTAAGGCACGAAGACTTATTAACAACAGTTACGTCCTCCTCGTATATTCTCTAAAAAAAAATTTTTTTTTTTTTTTTTAAATGTTTTTCTTACGCGTGATTTCTTTCTTACGAATTGTTTTAAATTTTAATTTAAAAAAGCTAAAATTTGAGATTTAAGTTTGAAAAATAATCAAAAAAAAGGTAAGCTAAACAAAAAAAAAGAAAAAAGTAATTTGAGGTTTGATTCCCCCGCCTTTTTTTTCCATTCGATTTACAAAAAAAAAAAAACAAATGAGAAAAAGGGATTTAAAGGGGGGAAAAAAAATGAAGAACCGGACATGAATGTGAGGTGAGGTAAAAAAAAAAAAGGACAAAAAAATAAAAACGTGGAAAAATTTTGAATTTTTTTTTTTTATATATAAAAATTACAATTTTTATTTTTTCTTCATTTTCTTTAAAAAAAAAGAAAAACTTTTCGTGACGAGAAATTTAAAATTAAAAAAAAAATATTTAAATTAAATTTTTTATTTTTTTTTGTTTGTTTGTTCAGTTCAACCATCCATTCAAGTAACAAATCAATTGGTAGCTGCTCCTGTTGGTAGTGACGTAATACTTCAATGCTACGTAGAAGCTTCACCTAAAGCCATGAATTCGTGGTACAAAGAAAAAGGTATGAAATCATTATTATTATTATTATTATTATTATTTAACCGAAAACAGGATACTCTCCTTCCATTGTTTTGTTTTTATTAATCTCGTGTCTTGTTTTCCATTCGCATTCGCATTCGGATTCATACAAACCGATAATGTATTGTGATTAATTAACCGATCGCTTTCCATGTCTTTTAAAAAAAAAGCAAACGTGGCAGCAGAATCGTAACCCTTAGAATATACGATACTCAATCATAATTAAATAACACCACATTATTTAAAATGACAAAGTTTTTTTTTTATTAGTCCATCGTTAAAACCATTTGAAATTTTTTTTTTTTTTTTTAACAACCTCAAACTTTTTTTTTTCTTCTTCCACGACTTTTTTTTTTTTTTACCTCTTATCTCTACTCTTAGATTACAGAGTATCAAATTTTTCAAACACTTCAATCAATAATCGTATCTATTTTGATTTTTTTTTTTTTTTTGAAAATTGATGAAAATCGTATTATATGTAAAAAATATATTGAGTTATACGTTATAATAAATTATTTTTTTTTTTTTTTTTAAATTTTCATTTTTTAAAAAAAAACGTACCTACAACATTACGTCATTACCCCATTTTTCAAAAAAAAAAAAAGGAGGGAAAATATTGTTGTAGTTTTTTTTTTTTTACGTAATAATTCAACCTTAAATAATTGTACTTTATTTTTACTAAAAAAAAAAAAAAATATATAAATATAAGTTTAAAGTGGGTGTGTGTTTTTTTTTTGATGGCGAGGAAGCTTTGATTGATTTTCTGTAAGATTGATTTACAAAAAAAAAAAAAGGAAAAAAGGAAAAAAAAGGAAAAAAAAAAGGAAAAAAGATAGAAAAGAGTAAAAAGAGTTTAATGATGGGGAAAATAGCCGTAAGGTTTTCTGCTAAAGATCGATTCAACGATCCTATTTTTTTTTTATTATAAAAACCGACAACTAAAAAAAAAAAAATTTATGTCTTATAGTTTAGTTATATTAAAAAAAAAAAGTATACTTTTATATATATAATTTTTTTTTACGTATTTATATTTACATAAACGTCGTACGAATATATATTATTATTATTATTATTAAAGTAACTAAAACTATATTTATTATCGGGTTATAAATTTTTTAAAATATAAATTATCATTTATTAAATAATTTTTTTTAAATTTTATTTACTCATCACGTATTGCATGGTAAAAACAATTTTTATAAAAAAAAAAAAAACTTTTTTGTGTTTGTTTTTCCAACCCCCCTCCCCCTCGCCCCCTCCTTCCTCATTTTCCCGGTTATTATTTGGAAAAATGTTGTGAAACCGAAAAGAATTATAGATCGTGACGGTAACATCTGGTAATTGATCTGGTAAAGGTTTCAAATCCTCCGTTTTATCGTCGGGGTTGTTTTTTTTTGGGGGGGAGGGGAGGGAGGGTTAAACGTTTATTAAAATTTAATTTTTTTAAATAAAAAAAAAAACAATATATTTGTTGATTTGTTTTAAAATGTGTGTGTGTGGGTGTTTGTCTGATAAAAA